TACTAATATATTTCATCCGTATGTCACTGAGCAAAACTGTTGAGATATGAAGAAATTCATTTATCAAAAGGATTAAAAAGCATAGATAATAGGCAAATTTTGATATTTGTATGACATTTCAAAATATTGTCTTGTGACCCCAATTTGTTTTTCATTTTCTGTATCCTAATGCATGAACCCATTATGGAGAGAATGGCATATAGTCTTTAATTGGCTCTCAAATCTAGTAACAGCATTTAAATTTCTCAAAATTGTGTAACAGACTCAGTGGGCAGGTAACTTTCAATCTTGGCAGACAGTTACGAGCTGTGCATTAAAGATTATTTTTGAATGCCTCCATTCTCATTCCAAGTAAGTCACTTTATTCAGCCAAAGGAGATAGTGACCATAATAGTCTAATACAGTGTTCACATGTGTGCCAAATTGGAGACCAGCTATAAAGCTGATGTTGAGACATATATGAACAAGATAAGCCGCCACCATGCCGATTTAGTTTAAGATGTCGTAAGATGACATGTCTCGACCGACACCTTGTATTTACAGAAACGATTTTAGGACGTTTGAACAATAATGTTGCCCTCAATTTCAGCCTCGCTCTGGAGTTTCAACACTTGCTTGGTTTAGTCTTTATGCACGTATGAACACAGGATTAATTAAAATCACAGAAAACAATTGTTTACCAAGTTAGTCAAGTCGGCTCTGTGGCACACTTGTGAACATGGTATAAATATGGTCATCATTTTTATCTAGATCTGAGAAGTGTTAGTGGGGAATGCATAGTCACAATGGCTGCCTGCTCAATCCTTAAAAAACAACTTTCTAAGTAAGAATTTTAAATTGCTGTATTCTTTGTTTCATGATCTTTGTTTCAGCCATCGGAAGCAAGAATGGCTTTATATAATAATTTTATTTAGCACCGATATCATTGTCAAAATTATTACTACGGTAGTATCAGACCCCTGGGCAGGTTTCAATTTTCACTTGTCTGACTGATAAGTTACCTTTCTATTGTCTTCAACTAACTTTGAAAATAAACAAGAAAACTGGGAAAACAATAGGGTATAACTTGGACAAAGCATATACCCTAGGATGTATGGACAAAGAAACAAAATCTAATATTTAAGGTAAACGCCTTTCAAATAAATAACCAAATGTTGTAAAGATTCCACTAAAAAGATTTTTTGCTTTTATAAATAAGCAACTGGATCATGCCATTCTGTAAACAGCATCATCTTAAAGACAGGTGGTCGTTGATACGCTTTATTTATGTAAACCACATGATTAGCTCTCAGCTAGAATTGGATTACAAAAAAAACATGTATTTACATGTGATGTATACATTGCATGTAAATCTGAGCATTACTAATTTGCTTATTTCTTTAATTTCGTTTAATTAATGCTTTTCAATGGAGGCAGCCTTTTTGACAATCATCAATTCAAGAAATATTTAAATTTTTCGCATTTCCTCACATATGCACATTCTTCTAACATTTAGTTTATTGTTCATTTTCTTCAAGCAATAGATACATTGACAACATAAATATAACTAAATATGTCAATTTTTAAAGATTTTATCTTTTCAACACTGTGCCGAATGCATTGACAGCCATCAGATTTAAATGTGTGCATTGCTGAATCATTCCGTTATTGTTTTTCAGGTGTGTCCAACACTGGAAATGCAAACATTTTGAACACAGAATGAACTGTGTTCCATCTATGGACACTAAGCATCGATTTGATTGGTCGTTGGATTTTCTTGCAGACAGCTTAGAAATTAATTAATTCTGTTGTCTTCACTGATAAATACCTGTGTGTAGTGAATGTATTTTGTGTGGAATAGTTTAACATAATGTTGCACCAAAAATGTTAACTAAATAGATGAATTGTGAAATTTTGTCCAATTCGTCTGTAACAAATTCTGATTACACATATGCAGATTTTGAGCTGTGCGTAAATCGGGGTTTAGATTTTCTTTGCCATGTTTTTAACAGTTTAATCATGTCTACTTTAAAAAAAAAAGTATTTCAACTAAATTTTCATTAGTATGTACATGTAGGTGATATTTCAGTTAATATTTATGAGATGCAATCTCAAAGACGAGAGTGAGGCTGTGCAACAAAATAAAATAAAATATGCAAATATGGATAGCAACCAGTGATGGGACCCAAATTGCCAAGAATGCAGTGTGACAGCTGAGACACTTTGATATGCATATTAGGTATTAAATCTGCATAATAATGATTTTTATGATATTTTCAAATACTAAACAGTTTATCTTAATCAAGTGTGCATGTTTGTATTGAACATCTGGAAGTAGTATTTCTCATAATTGTCAGCACTGAACTAGCCAGCGATAAACATTCAAAACAACTGTTTTGCTGCACATTAAAAAGTATTACCAAATACATACATGTTTATCCTCTATTAAGAATTTTATCGAATATTGTGATAATACTCGGGTAGTATTGTATAATTCCTTTATGCTTATGTACTTAATCATTAATTGTTAATACCTTAAAGGTGTAGTAGTCTTTCTTTTCTTTCATGGTTTACATGTAATTTGCACATTTGTGAGAAATAAAAAAAGATTTGCATTATAATCATTAGCTGAATTTAATATGCCAATTAGTTATTCTCTTGACTTTCATTGGAAAGATTCAAACATTTTCATCTAAATATTTAACAAGATATGATTTAACTTGGTCTATGCAGTGTAGAGTTACAATTCTTTTAATAGGCTAGTTTTAACTTTTAATTACTTAAAATTTCCAAAATCTGTGTCATGCTTTTTTTTTTTTTTTCTAAAATCCCTTGAGCACTACTGAGGTTTTTTTGGTTGTCCCTGTGATGGGTCATTGGTATATGACATTAAGTCTGTTGTGATAGTTTCTACTAATCTTCATTAGTTGTAGACATCAGCCCTCTGGCTGTCTCGAACATCTGTCTCCTATGTTATCCATCTATTTTTATTTTCCTCAGCTTTTGAATCTGGATTGTTTACCAAAAAATGATTGCATTTTTCATTTTTTCGGGTCTTGTGTTCAATACAGAAATAAATATTGATGTTTATAATTGTAGCTTTTGTTGTATATTACATCTAGGTACATCATAGACTCTTGAAAGTATTCGTACACATTTCAACAATTTGGTCAGCCAAAAAAAATATGCGTGTTATATCATTGCTGTCTTGAATTGGCCAATAGGCATTCTAGAATCTTTGTGGCTATGTGTTAAAACTTGGTTCCGGTCTGGTATATACACAGTACATGCAAGTAATTGACTACAAATTATGCTACCAATAATCACAGCAAGAATTTGATTGGCCAAAACTTTGTAATTCGCAAAAGCCATGGTACAAATAAGTTAAATCATGGTCACTTGATGTTAAAGCCAGGGGTTTCACAATTTAATAGCATTTAATAGCAGGCCATCATCCTGTAACAACAGGCCAAAAAAATAAAATAAAAAGGCTCTCGACAGTGCGAAGCGCTACATTGAAGCCAGTGTAGGCGGTCAAGGGAGACCAGAAAGTAGAAGGCTAATTTGGGCTTGCAGCAGGCCATATGGGCGGCGGCTGGTTCTTAATGAAACCCCTGTACAGCACCTAAAACAGCACATGCTTCATACTGCGGGATTGTGCCATAACATTGTATATCAGGTTGAAAACTACCGGTATGTGTGTAATATGTATTGTTTATTTACACAAAATTGGAATGTGTACATTAAAACAAATGCAATTTTTTAAATAATGTATAATATATTCAATACTTATACCTTCAAAATATTCTTGTACTGTAAAATATATGGATTATTTTTGAAATAGCAATGTTTATTTCCCGCTATTATTGTGCTGTTTTGAATTACCAAAAACCAAACAACTGAGAAGAAACAATTAACATGTTATCGATGTATGGAATGCAGTAATGAATAAATTCTGATTTTCACACTGGCTGTTATGTAAAATAAAATGGATCAATATTTGTTGTCAATTTCTATTCACATCCATACATGTATCTGTTAAAAACATGTTTGATACATGTAAGTATACCTAGCTGTATGATGTACAATGTAAATAAATAAAGGGTTTTATTCTTTGTTTACATACTTTGTTTACGTAATTTGTAGCTTCTTGCAACACACACACCCACCTGGAATAATACGTACAGTAATTAAATTCTGTAGCGAAATTTTCATTTGAGTTCATAACACAAAATTTTTTGTTTTGATTTTGTTTAGTATGACATGAATATAATACATGTATCTGTAAAATTAAGCTACCAAGTACATTCAAAATATATGTGTCAAAGGTGTTGATTGGGATGCAATCTGTTACACAAATATTTTGTTATGAATTCCAGACCGGATTAAATTTGGAGACAAATTCTTGCACATTAATTAGATAATTTGAATAATAATTAACTACTTTCAACATGTATTTTGAGGATAACCGTTTGCTTAAATGAAAAAAGGTATTTACAATGGATTTTATTTTCACTTATTCATCTCTTTAAAAAAAATAGTGAATTCTAGGTGAAAATAAAATAAAAAGTATTTTACAGTAAGCATTGTACTGAGGCAAAAAAAGTTGTATATATATATGTTAGTTGTTCAGTAAACTTTATAGAATATTAAATTCACTTCAAACAGGACCACTTTGTAACATCTCTAGTTTGGTAAATATATTTTGTCAAAATATCCCAAAGAAAGATTCATGCCTTGTTTTAATACATGTATAATCCATAAGTGAAAGTATGGTGTTTTTATAGAACAGTCATCAGGGTGCTTGCTATTGCATTGAAGTCATGTATGTTATGTAATAGGAACTACAGAGATTTGTTGTTATAAAAGATCATAACTATCACACAATTTAATTGCTTCCATGTTTTAGAAAATTATGTGAATTAAATACTTCGTAAATCTACCCAAATGTGGAATTTCATCCATGACATTCAATATTTGTGTAATTATTTCCTATTTTTGTTTTGTTTTTTACAAAAAAGGAAGAACAACATGCAATAGTAAAAACACCCAGAGACTCCCAAATCAGAAAAGTTGACAAAAAAGAAATTAAATCTGCAACTACCACCTCCCAGCGTCCCACTAGCACTGGTAGTATGAAGACACAAGAACCGAGCAAAGCAGGGCAAGGAGACTCAACAAATCCACAACAAATTAAGAAAAAGAAACCTAGTGACTTTCACTATGGTAAAATAATCGGTGAAGGATCTTATTCTGAGGTTAGTGGGGTTTTATTTATATCAACATCATAACTTATGCTGCCCAAATTATTATTGCCCAACAGCTGTGTCAGTTAAAGGCTGAATCATATGGTCAGATCACTCTTAAGACAAATCTGATCATTAATTCCAATTTGTCAGCCTTCAATGCCACTGATTAATTTGAATTAATATGACGGAGTTATTATGCCATATTGCAGTTAATTCAAATTCATTATATGACTTGATTTGTTTATTTTTTCTTCATGGCAGGACTAGCCATACTCAACTTTTCCAACGCAATTCGACATTTGAACATCTATGTGTGTGATGTTACATAATTTTGCATATGTCTCCTGAAATAATTGCTTAGGTGGTTTTGTGTTCATAAAATTGATGTATAGCTCATGTAGAAACAAACAGGCTGGTAGACCAATATTCATATACCGATATATTTGTATATATATTAGGTTTTATCTGCAGTATTTACCTTATTTTTGTCTCATTGCATTGTCTTAATGAACAATTACTCATTTGTCATCATTCAACCATGGGTACAAAAGTTGTGCAAGGTAAAAAAAGTACACTTTGTGATGTTCCAACTTACCTTTACAGGTTGTCTTAGCAAAAGACATATCCAGTGGAAAGGAATATGCAAGTAAGTTGAAAATATGCTCAGCACTGCCAACATAAAATAAGTTTTTGTAAATTATGTCAAAACATGTGATTACACTATTCTAAAATTTATGATTTAAGCCAGGACTACATCAAATATAGAATCTGTAAAATGGTCCCACTCAAATTGATAAGATGACACATATTTTTATCTTCATGTAAATGAAAAGATAAGTATATGAAGTAAAAAGATGTCTGTCTTGTCATGCTTATTGTAAACTTTTTTTTCTTTTGGTTACAATAACTAAAACTATTTCCATCTCACTGGCTCCAAATTCAGATATTTTTTTCTCCACTATGAACTCTCAATTAAATTAAATTTTTATGTGTTTCATATGAATATTTTTCATAATATCTGTGAAAATGTAGTTTGCAAATATGTTTCTCTTAGCTACATTAAATCAAGAATTTGCATCTGATAGTTTGGATATGATGTTCATTACTTTAGCATCTAGATCATTTAGGTCTGATTAGCATGTTTACTTTTCAAGATAAAAAATCATTTGTTATATAATAGTGTAGTCACATGTTATGTTATTTTCATTGTTTGTGGGGAGAGAGGGTTCCTGTTCTAAATTTTTATTTTATAGTTACAATAATTCTAACAATTTAAATTCAGTCTTTAATGTATTATATTATGATATTTAATATATTATTAACTAGTTTTTTTTGTTACAACAACAAAATATATAAACTCACTTATTTTCAAACTTAATTGGAGGCTTACTGATTAATTACTTTGTCTGTATGATCATAGATGGAGCTCAAAGTATATGAGGTGAAAACATCTGTCCTTGTTGTTGTCATTGACTCACCAAGTCTGATTTTTTTTGTGTGGTTACAATTATTGAAACATTTGTTATCCATTATCAAACTTGGATATTATGTTAACCATTTTGAGATCTCTGTCAAGTTTTACTGTGGTTTGTGTTCCATGTATATGTTTTCCCATATAAAGTATTGTTAGCTATTCCACCTTCAAAATAATTTTTCCTAAACTAAAACTTTTGTCTATGAACTAGGGAAAATTTATAATTATTGCATTATATTCTTTTCTTAATATTTTGGAATGAATACTGACAATCAGTGACCTCAAAATACTAGACACAGCTGTCATTCCTGTCATAGAGGGTGTAGTGTTATCGAGTTGAATTGCCAATAAAAAGAGTTGAAGCACAATTAGTTTTGTTGACACAGAAACAAATAATTTGTGTTTTCCTTTTGTAGTGAAAGTTGGGCAATGGTGTATCAGTGTTTTGGTTACAACTGAAGTAAATTGTTCAAGAAAACCACTATCTGCTAGTTTACCTTACAACATTGTAATTTCCTAGAAACATTGCCGGTAGTGTTTGTTTTGATTCCATAATGCTCTACACATATGATCATGCTCAGTTGACACTAATATGGAATACATGAATTTGCGTGTAAGTTTTAATTGTTTTACACAATAGTTTTGAGACTATTCAATTTGTTCTTTTCTACTTCCAGTTAAAATACTTGAGAAGCGACATATATTGAAAGAGAAGAAAGAGAAATATGTACATAGAGAGAAGGAAGTATTGAATAAATTGTACAGTCATCCGTTCTTTGTTAAGCTGTATTTTACATTTCAAGATAGCAACAAATTATGTATCCTTTGACTCTTACACTCTTCAGTCGATAAAAACAGATTGTTAATTGAGTGGTTGGAAAATGTTATCACTAATGTTATATTTTAACATATCTGAATGTAAGTTGTGGATATATGTGGCACTATTGTGAGAGGAGAATAAGTAGTCAAACTTATATGATGAAATTGAAACGATGTTAAGTAATGTGTGTTTTCAAAATAAACCATGCAAATGCAAGATACTTGAACCATGTGTACTGCAAATTGCATAGTATTCAATAAGACTATAATGGGTACAACTGCTTCTATTTTTAACACTAAGATGTTCTAAAAATAGCAACATAATACTGAGTTTGTGTCTGTTTAGCAATATGATCTGTCATGTATTAGACACATCCAGCTTTGCTCTTAACTGCAAATCTATTCACAAGTTAATCTGTGGAGCTGTCCTTTGATATATACAGTGGCTGGCTGTAATGTATGTGCTGTATGTCACTTTAGGAAATGTAATCTTTGAAAATATCAAAACATTGTAACATACCAAATGTTGATCCCAAACTGGTCGAGTACGTACTTTGTGATATTCTCTTGATAATCTTATTATCATACATGCTGATGTTTGCATTCAGTGATGACATTCTGTCACATGATATAGTACTTCTGCATTCGTTGTAAACTAAGTGTTTAAATGTTATTCAATTACCCACAATGCATCAGTAGATGTATATAAAGGTATTTTAGTTTATCCAAAATAACTTCCCAATCTAATTGTCTCCTGAAACTGAACCCCAAATTAATATGTGAGAGATAAGGTAATTAAAAATAAATATTCATCTGAAAAGTAATATTGAAAATACACCCATCTCCTTCCTATCAAGAGTGAACATTGCTAACTAATGACAAATGAAAAAAATTTAATACAAATTTCGGATATTTTACTAGATTTCTTTAAATAAATGACGAAGACTAAATGAAATGAGAGGGTACTAAACCTTAATTGAAATAGTAACATTGTGATTCCCCATAGCGGTGAACCTAACTTACTCTGGTGGTCAATATACATAGGTTAGGTTTATTATTCAAAGCGAAGTTTGAATATGTACCCATTGTTTTTTTTTAGAACTTTCAAACAACCAGTCACTGGGAATAACCTTCCAAAATGCCAGAACATTCGTGTATCAACAATATTTTAGTCACGTCCACTCGTAAATAGTGATTACATCCCAATCAAAACACACGTTTGTTTATTGATGTAAATACATCCTGTTCTGTTGCTGTGCACATGTTTCTTCTTTCAAACTGATCTCAAACTGAAATGATCTTGTCTCCAATTACCTGGGTATACCTTCTGCTATTCCATGGTTCCCATAGCAACAACTGTTTTCCAGCTAGGAATGACTGCATGAATTTAATTTGAAATTGGTTGCATCATGAAAATAAGACCCCCCACACAATTGATTCTACCTGCAGCTTATGTGTGTTCTTCTAGGCTATTCCTGTCAGAAATTGGATTGATATTAAAAATAAAATGCCAGTTAGTGGACACTTATTGAGAGGAGCAGACTGCCGGAATCTAATTACTGACTTTCAATTATCATTCAGTCAGCAATTTATCATTTGTTTGTCTTCGTTGCTATGATGTCAGCTAGACTAAATTCATCACGAGAATGATTCTCAAATTCCCACAACAGTTAGGTTATTTATATACTCATTATTTTGTTGATTAATGTCATTGAACAAAATGAAGATTTAATTTATTTTAAATCTTTTTTTTACTTTGTTGTCATGAATGAAAGCAAAAGTTTGTGAGGGAAAAATATCTGTCCTCTCCGTTGTCTGTGTCGTCAACTTTTTTGTTATTGTTTGAAGTAAGCTACATCATAAGTAGGTTGTCAAACTGACCGGGGTAACCCATTCTCCTGATTTGATGATTTATCGTGCACAGAGGCATATTATCCATATCACAACATTTCATTTTCTGTAACAACAAATAACAGTAAAAATTTCTCACTTCTATGTTTTGTGGATTTATTTACTGAAGAAGAGATTCACTGAACAAAATATGCTGAACAAGTGATTTGGATGTGGCCTAACAACCATTACAAATTGATGTCTCATAGATGTTCCAGCAATGGAATCAGTCATAGAATTTATTCCTTAAAAATCAATGGACTATATCTCCAAAACTATAAAACACATCTTATAAAGCAACAGTGAAAAAATCAAGAAATGGTCAATCTTGCACAAAAAAAGCATTTTTAGGAGGTTCACAGTAATGTCTGTAAATTAATTTCCTGAGCAAATATTAACACAAATATACATTTGTATTCTCCTATCTCAGCTTTCTGAAAATGTATACATTGCCATGCTTAATTAAAAGTCAATTAGGTAAACTAGTACTCATTTTTGACTCCCGTGTGCGAAGCACAAAAAGGGAGTCTTTGTTGTTAGTGTGTGTGTTCCACTGATATCTCAAGAACCATACATTGATTTTTGATGAAACTTGGTGCATAGATGCTCTGGGCCAATGCGCAGATTTCATTAGGTTTTGGTAAAAACCATGCATATTAATTACCTAATTTGCATGATAATTAGCTGATTTTTAGCTGTTTCATGACTGTTCCGCTGATATCTAAAGAATCACTCATTGGATTTTGATGAAACTTGGCACATAGATGCTCCAGACTAATGCGCAGATTTGATTAGTTTTGGGTTAAAATCTGTGCAATATTAATTACCTAATTTGCATAATCATTAATCAATTTTCAGCTTTTCCACTGATATATCAAGTACTAATCATCACATTTCAATAAAACTTGGTACATAGATGTCATAGGACACTGCACAAACCTGATAGTTTTTAGGGTAATATCAGTACATATTGATTACCTAATTTGCATAATTAATTAATTTTCAGCTTTTGATATTTCAAGTAGTAATCATCACATTTCAATGAAACTTGGTACATAGATCAGAGACCTGATTAGTTGTAATTGGATATTAATTACCTAATTTACATAATGTTCCACTGATATATAAAGAACCACGAATTGGATTTTAATGAAACTTTTAAAGAGAACTATACAGAGACCCAATTAGTTTTTGGTAAATATTTATGCTTATTAATCACCTAATTAACATAATTAATTAACACTGATATCTCAATTACTGATCATCACATTTGAATAAAATTTGGTACATAAATGCTCTGGGACCATAGACAGGCCTGATTAATTTTGGGTTAAAATTTGTTCATATTAATTTTTTGTTTAGTTCTGTTCATAATAGTTACCTGATTTACATAATTAGTTTTCAGCTTTTCCATCAATATCTCATGTACAAGTAATTTTGAATTAATTTTTAAAGTGTCCTCAATACTCTCAGCACACGGGAGTTCTTTCTAAGCTTTCTTTGATTCAATCTGCTGCCAAGTTGACAGAAACACTAATGTTTGCATATACTTTCGTGAATGATTATCCTGTTAACACCTTTCCTTGACCAGTGATTCTCAGATTTTGGATTAAGTTACGCCAAGAATGGTGAATTACTCAAATATATCAATAAAGTGGGATCTTTTGATGAAAAATGTACTCAATTTTATTCAGCTGAAGTGACGTCAGCATTGGAATATTTACATAGTTTAGGAATTATACATAGGTAGGTAACACCTTATTTTTTTACCTTTACTACCTGTGATTCAATGGAATGACCCATATTTACCTGTACATTATGAGCATCTACTGCCTAATGGATTTTTGTATGAAAATGATTTGAAAGATTTGAATTTAATAATAATTTATTGAATAAATTTGTTTATAAACAGATATAAACAGTTTGAACTAATTGCAAATTAATGTATTGCAATAAATAAGCTAAGAACCTTTATTGCAGTTGTGTCATCCTGTTTTTTCTTTTCCAGGGATTTAAAACCAGAGAATATATTATTGGATGAAGACATGCATATAAAAATTACAGATTTTGGCACCGCCAAGATATTAGAATCTAAGTCACGAGAAGGTATGAACAGATTGGCTTTATTTACTATATACTACAGACACACTGATTACACACTTCAGATTTACTATATACTACAGACACACTGATTACACACTTCAGATTTACTATATACTACAGACACTGATTACACACTTCAGATTCACTATATACTACAGACACACTGATTACACATTTCAGATTTACTATATAATACAGACACTGATTACACACTTCAGATTTACTATATACTACAGACACTGATTA